CCTGGTGTGTACGAGGCTTAAGACTGCTTTTGTGCTCCAGGGTCACATATGTGTATTGTCTTATATATTTATTGTCTATATACATACATATTTACCTTATTAGGCCACATGAAGCTAACAAAGAGGATGATGGGAAGGCCCACAGTGACGACATAGAGGCCCCAGAGCCACGGCCGCTTGACCGTCGCCATCAACAGCTTCTCAATCACTCCAGGCTACAAGAGGACGATACAGGAGATGTGTTCAGTGTGCTCTTATATTGACCAAAACATTTCAGGTTTCAATTGAATGTTTAAGTGAAAGTGTATCTCATGTCCTACACCTGCTCAGCATTTCTTCACAATCTGCTTTCACTAGATGATTTTATTATAAAGCGGAGAGTTCTTGATTCTGATTGGCTGAGCCGCGTTCGAAGCTGTTCTAAATTACTCTACAAAGTAACACACACCTTTGTTTATGTTTGTGTGTTGCTCGGCAACCACTTTGTTACAACCACAACTGTTTCTGAGGAACTACATTGTTTGGTGGAAGAATACTGTTTTTATTAATATCATTACACTTTATTTGCTCTGTTTTATTCTGTGAAATCTAACTACGTATATGGAATAACCGTTTATAAAAGCAGTAAGCCCCGTGAAGCTGTGGTTTACAGTGAATTTATAACAGCTAAGGGGGTTTTAGGCACTCCGCTTCACCCCTTAGCTGTTATAAATTCACTGTAAACCACGGCTTCACGGGGCTTATTGCTTTAATTTGGACGTGTCAGTGAATTGAGTACTTTGGGTAACACTTTTTCTCTATTAGCTAACTATTAACTATGAGTTTTCCCTAAAGAGTAAACTCCTAATTTGCTGCTTAGTTAGTAAGGTAGTTGTTAAGTTTAGGTCATGCAGAATAAGGCATTAATATGTGCTTTATAAGTACATGTGTGCTAGTAATGTGCATTTGAATGCATGTGGAAGAACATGCAGTTAAACTGTTGCTCTTACGGTCTGTCTCTGGCCCCACGTGTCTTGTGTCCAGCGCCGAGCTACTTCCAGACTGTCACAGAGCAAGATGTTGTCGAACATCACATCTGCAGTGAGGGACCACAGCTCAAAACCCACAGCAGAAACAGAGCTCACGGTGAACGGCTCATCTGACCTGAAACACACACACCACTGAATATAGGCTTTTATCACATCAGCTTTTGGACTCTCAACATTGCTTTTTGTTTTTCTGTGCCTTCATCTGAAGATTGTAAAAGCCACTCATTCAACCAATTCATGCATTTATAAATCAATCCAGGACTAAATATTAAAACACCTCACAACTCATCTTTCAGGTTAGTTTTGTATCATGAAAAAAGAATGCAAAAATAAAATCAGCACACCTTCGATGCTGCTGCAACTTTGTGTCAGAGGTCTGAACCGCGTCCACTAACGCAGCTCTTGCTGAATCCTCCTGTTCTTGTGCTTCGTGAGCAGACGCCGCTGATGAGAGCATGTCCTCCAACAGACTGCCTTTATTAATCAGTGTCAGGTCAACGAGGATCTCAAACGAGCCGTCGGGATACACGTCTGAGAAGAGAATGCTTTAGAACGACCTCATGCAAGACCAGACACTTTCCATCCAGTGCAGGATGTTTACTATTAAAACGATTACCTGTTTATTGAAATCGAAACTTACGTCAGATGCAAACGAACGTGTGAAATAAGACTGACTGCTCACTCAGAGTGTAGAGATGTGGACGCTGGTCAGTGAAATAGTCGCTGAGATCCAGCTCCGGCTGTCGAGCGTGTTTCTCCTCATATGTCCCTGTGACTGGATTACGATGACGAAAGATGAAGTGGATCTTGTGTGAGCTGCCGCATTTATCTGGACCAAACATTATCGTGTATGGGGTGGCATCACTGAACCGGCTCTAAAATCACAATCACTACACTGTTTAGGCACTTCTGGCACTACTGTTTCACTCTGTTTTTCATGTTTTAAAGCACTAAGCTAAAAGCGTCAGACATTACCAAGCAGAGATCATCTGAATGAGAAAGCAGCTTGATGTAGGCTCCACCACAATCAACCCCCTTTGGGAAGAAAACTTCATACCTGCGGATGATTCAAGAGAAGATTTAGTCAAATGATTGTATTAGTGTTTAAAGAAAAGTGATCGCATGTCTTACTGTAAGCACAGAGGTTTGTCTGTGAAGTGATAGGTCTTCTTCAGGTACGCAGAGATGGCGTGGTGTTCACCGGGAGACTTGAGTACCAGGCCTCTGTTTCCTAATAATCTCAGCTCTCTAGACTCCTCTATAACCCACTCCCCTGTGCAAAACCAAGGCTTTCATACTGACATTCATTGGGTGAGTGAGCCGCCATGTAACAAGCAGGATGATATGCAGTACAGTTAGCATGCATTATTTATTATCGCATTATAAACCCCTTCAGAGCCGTCTGCTACATTGTTTTGGCTATAAGATCCAACATTCTAATTTATTTGCACAAAATGCATACCGTTATATTTGAGAAGTTGCAGATGCTCATCTTTCACTGCTTTGGACAAAACCCAGTTTCTTCAGTGCAAACAAGGAAAAACATTTGGCGTTAATGAGCAAAGGCTTCCTATCTAGACATATCAGTCATCTAATGTAAACTAATAATATATATAAATGTGAGCCTGGAGCACAAAAGCAGTCTTAAGTCGCTGGGGTATATTTGTAGCAATAGCCAACAATACATTGTATGCGTCAAAATTATAGATTTTTCTTGTATGCCAAAAATCATTAGGATATTAAGTAAAGATCATGTTCCATGAAGATATTTAGTAAATGTCCTACCGCAAATATAACAAAGCTTAATTTTTGATTAGTAATATGCATTGCTAAGAACTTAATTTTGACAACTTTAAAGATGATTTTCTCAATATTTAGATTTTTTTGCACCCTCAGATTCCAGATTTTCAAATAGTTGTATCTCAGCCAAATATTGTCCTATCCTAACAAACCATACATCAATGGAAAGCTGATTTATTCAGCTTTCAGATGATGTATAAATCTCAATTAAAGAAAAACTGACCCTTATGACTGGTTTTGTGGTCCAGGGTCACCTTATGACTGGTTTTGTGCTCCAGGGTCACATATATAGTTGTATATTTTGAGTGAGAGACTGAAGGGAGCCCAACCTGTCCAGAGCTCCTGCGTCAAAAGCCTCAGCAAAATAAGCCTGCTCTGGGATCGCGACGCGTCTGTACGCGTTCTGACGCGCAAAGCGGTCAGTTTGAACATGTTTGAAAGAAAAGCAGCAGCTATCTATAACACTACTCTCATATCAATACGTTTCACGTTCATTCTTCACAATGCAATATGAGCATTATATTTACCTGTGCTCCGCTGATGTGAGCCAAACACAGACAGAAGCCGAGGAGCAGACAGCGCATCATATCTGAACGATCTTCGCGAAAGATGAGACACTGTACTGCTGTGATTTTAGCGACTGAGAGTCATATTTAGACCTCTTTACAGCATGATTTGGTAACGCGCGCGCTCAGCTTCCTGTATTTTCAGGTTATTAACGTGGACTTTGGCCTCTGTCCTTTTGAAACGCGGTGCCTGTGGCTGTAAGATGTGCAAGGAGTGAAGTATTTAAACAAGGAATCATTAACGAAAGGCAGGTCATTTATTCATTACTCATCCGATGCAGCCACAACACATTCAATAATTCAATAATTCACCTGTCCGGAGACAATTATTCCGATTACACCACTGTTACCACCAGTGTTGGGGAAAGTTACTTTTAAAAGCAATGCAGTACAATATTGCGTTACTCCATTAAAAAAGTAACGAATTGCGTTACTTAGTTACCTTTGATGGAAAGTAATGCATTACGTTACTTTTTCTCATCTGGGCTGGGCTTGCTTGCTTGCTTGCTTGTTTTTAATATATATATATTAAAAAAAAAGTTGTTCTTTTCACTTTTGGTGTGAAAGGACTTGTACAACTGCCAAAAATATGAGTCTCAGGCTGAAGGAAATGTAAATTCCCGTCTGTCCAGTAGAGGGAACTCACTCCTGATTTCCATACAGCAAAAGCAGTAATATTGTGAAATATTATTACCATTTAAAATAACTGTTTTCTGTGTGAATATGTGTTAAACTGTAATTTATTTCTGTGATGCGCAGCTGTATTTTCAGCATCATTGCTCCAGTCTTCAGTGTCACATGATCTTCAGAAATCATTCTAATATGCTGATTTGCTGCTCTATTATTATGTTGAAAACAGCTGAGTAGAACTTGTTCAGGTTTCTTTGATTGATATAAAGTTAAGAAGAACAGCATTTATCTGAAACAGAAATCTTTTGTAACATTAACAATGTCTTTATCATCACTTTTGATCAATTTAAAGCATCCTTGCTAAATAAGTGTTAATCCCTATAATCTTTCCCCCCCCCCCCAAAAAAAACTATACTGACTCCAAGCTATTGAATGGTATAGTGTATAATGTTACAAAAGCTTTCTATTTCAGATAAATCAAAGAATCCTGAAAAAAAAATGTACTCAACTGTTTTAAATAATAATAATAGTAAATATTTCTTGAGCAGCATATTAGAATGATTTCTGAAGATCATGTGACACTGAAGACTGGAGTAATGATGCTGAAAATTATATCTGATCAAATAAATGCAGGCTTGGTGAACAGAACAGACTTCTTTAAAAAACATAAAAAATCTGACTTCGGTTAACTCAGATATTGTCTTGTAAACTAAAAAGTAATGCATTACTTTACTAGTTGCTAGAAAAAAAGTAATCCGATTACGTAACTCGCGTTACTTGCATTGTGTTACAAGTAGCACTGTTCATCACAAAGCAGAAGAGTTTATTCCTCGGGCCTTCAATGCTCTTGTGTGCAGAGCTACTAATAAACAGCACCTCCGTTTAGTTCTTTAGCGGCATTTTCAGAACGCCATTTAGAGCTTCACTGCTTCGTGATTTTACTCAAACTTGACAATAAAAACACACAAGAAAAGCATCATGTCAATAATGTTCTTTAATGTCAATATGTACATCACCTGAAAGAAAAATAAAATCTTAAAAACAAGTGAAATAAATACAATATGATACAGTTTCCACAATGTCTTTAAAAAGTTGTATGGAATAATTTTTCCCTCCATCTGGAGCAGAGAGATGCGATTTCGTGGATTCAGTCTCATCTACATTCACTCACCTCATTCGACTTTATAAATATAGATTAATTTCTCCACCTTTTGCTCATGTACTTCCCATTCAAGAAAAGGCAAAGAGCGGTCCGAGACGGGAACAGACGAGCTGCCGAGCCTCAGTGCAAATGTGCTCAGGGATCCACACAAACACGACGAACGAGTCTATATACACCGAGCCGAAGAGACGCTAACACTGAGTGCTTCTGAGGTAATGCCATGTGCTTCGCAACACTAAGGGGACAGGAAGTGGCTCACAGATGGAGAACGGCGAGGAATGTGCAGGTCACAAGCGTATCGTGCGCGAGGAAAACCAAGCCTGTTTGTGATGCTCTAGACAATTCAGCACATTTATCATCTCCTTTCAGCTCATGTGGGAAAAACTAGACATCGTTTCACCTGTAAAGCATTTAGAAGAACGTCTCGTACCACATACTGGAGAATTTAGCGAAAACCAATCCTGATATACAGGAAATCTGCGGGATTGGATTGTCACGAAATGTTCTTAATGGTCCAACAAACAGGCTTCCTGTACTTTCTGCACAAACTACACGAGCTGGACGTTTCTTCGTGAGCTCTGGGTCTCGGAGCGAGAGCATTCAAACACGTGATGGAGCTGGTGTTCTTCACTCTCCCAGAGAGAAACAGAAGCTCGAGACGCACGTCAGGGCTCCTCAGGACATGTCTGCAGACGTCAGCTTCTTCATGCTCCTGCGCTGAGCCAGACTGGAGGCAGCGACCGGCTCCAGAAGCGGCTTACACGTCTGGTGGTTGAGCGCGGAGTACGTGGCAGCCATCGCTCCCTGCGAGAGACACACACGACACAGTCAAGCAGCGCCTCAGCATCTGAGGATCGAGAAGCGTGCCGTACCTTCACCAGATGAGGCGCCTCGTGGCGAGTGAGCTGGAAGTGTGGGTTCTGGTCGCGGCAGGCGATCCACGAGTGCTTCAGCACCTGTTCTGCGGAGTACCGCTGGTGAGGGTCCACATGCAGCATATGAGACAGCAGGTCCTGCACACAACACAAGCTCTCAAACATCACACTCGCTTGATGCCGATCTGTGCACCACCACACAGACACTGTTCATTCAAACTCTGCTCCTCCTCAGCTTCAGTTTAAGGACTGTGAACTAGCGCTCTACTGACGTCCAATCAAACACAAGCACCACTATGGATTGTTTTATTACATATCATAACTACCTTCGAGGAGTCGGACACCGAGTCCCAGTTTCCTCCGCTCAGGGAGAACTTCCCGCTGCCGATGCGCAGCAGGATCTCCTCCGGCGTGTCGTTGGGGCCGTTAGCGAAGGGTGTGTACCTGCACAAACACAGGATTCAGCACATTCACACGTGCTTTCATTCATTCCGCCAAATAAAGAGACTTATCTGGCTAGTTCAGGATCCATAGCCAGGTTCCCATACAATGTTTATTTGTTTAAAAAAACAAAAACTAATGCATCCAATCATTTACCAATATGGAAACAAACCCCTTTTTGCATAATGTAATAGAAAACTGGAACAAAGTTTAAGTTGTTCCAGAGCTAATTAAAGCACTAAGCCCCGTGAAGCCGTGGTTTACAGTGAATTTATAACAGTTAACAGTTAAAACCCCCTTAGCTGTTATAAATTCTCTGTAAACCACGGCTTCACGGGGATTACTGCATTTATAAAACGGTTATTCCATATACGTAGTTAGATTTCACAAAATAAAACAGCAAATAAAGTGTAATGATATTAATAAAAACAGTATTCTTCCACCAAACAATGTAGTTCCTCAGAATCAGTTGTGGTTGTAACAAAGTGGTTGCCGAGCAACAGACAAACGTAAACAAAGGTGTATGTTACTTTGTAGAGTAATTTAGAACAGCTTCGAACGCTGCTCAGCCAATCAGAATCAAGGACCGGAACTCCGTTTTATAACATGATTTTAAAAAGCTGAAACCCAGTCAAGAAGCAATTTATTTCATTTCAATTTTTTTTTTTGTTCATGAAAATGGACTGAAAAGACTTCTAAAGACTTCTGTAATGTGCCAGACTGTATATTAATGCTGAAGTAATTAGTGTGGGAAGAACAAGATGCACCTCTCAAACAAGCATCATTCATCTGTATTTTTGTTACTTTTTGGATTTGATGTTTTTTTTGCTTATTTCGTCAAATTAAAAAGTTTAAATGTTTTATTAAATTCAGAAACGACTGATCTACAGGCTTATGAAAAACAGAAAAACAAAATAGCAGCCACAACAGCGCTGGTTTCTGAATAGCCAATTGGTTAAAATATCTATAAATCTATATAATTAAAATATCTATATAACAAATACAAATTAGAGAACAAATAATTAAATACTTTAATAAAATAAGTTTTTTTTTTCAAATGAATGAGGAAAATATATTATTAAATATTTGCATCTATAAAACATTGGGTGCACTGTCAAAAACGCTATTTATATCATTTTATTTCAAAAGGATGAGGAAAATAAACTGGGCTGTATCCAAGGAGTGCATCTTAGAATCATTATCTGAAAACGTTAAATACACAAGTAAATGTAGTTTTTAACTGCATCTAAGAAAAAAAAAACACCAGCAAATTAATTTGGTGTTATTTTCAAAGTGTATTAGCACAATGTGCTCTCATTATAAAAAAAGTTATTAGTATCATTTTGGAAAATAGACCTCAGAACAATTTTTTTTTCTCAAAACAAACCTAAATGAAAAACTACTTTTGAAAAGCGGCTTTCTCTGCCACATCAAACCACAGCTGTCCTGACTGCATGCTCTCAGCACTCATCTCCATTACTCTCCATTTCACAGAAATAATTATTTTAAAAGTAAAAGCAGTGGAAGCAGTGTGAAGACAGCGAATTAAAAAAAGTTTGCAAAAAATTTTTTTAAAGGGGTCATATGATGTTGCTAAAAAGAACATTATTTTGTGTATTTGGTGTAATGAAATGTGTTTATGCGGTTTAAGGTTAAAAAAACACATTATTTTCCACATACTGTACATTATTGTTTCTCCTCTATGCCCCGCCTTCTGAAATGTGTCGATTTTTACAAAGCTCATCGTTCTGAGCATTCACTTTTATAAAGAATATCTCTTCGGGTTTGAGACTTTAATTTTGCGACTTTACAAATCTTCTGTATGCACGAACAGCTTTTAACACTCCAAAGACAAAGGAAAACATGAAATCGCATCATATGACCCCTTTAAAATGAATTTTCACTAGGGCTGCAAGATAAATCGCATGCAATATTTAACGCGCATCTTGTCAGTAAAGCCGGTTCTGTAATCAGCGGTAAATCTCCATCACGTGCGTGCTTTCACATTGAGCAGCATTAACTACACAGAGCCGTTGTTCACTGACGAGCTGTGCAAAACCACATTCATATTTTGTGCAGCTTGTTGGTGAACAACGGCTCTGTGTAGTTAATGCTGCCCATGTGAAAGCCCACAGGTGATGGAGATTTACCGCTGATTAAAGAACCGGCTTTACTGACAAGATGCGCGTTAAATATTGCATGCGATTTATCGTGCAGCCCTAATTTTCACTGTCAAAAACAGATGGAAACTGCTGATGTCACACAGACCCCGCCAGCATGGTGTAGAGCAGGACTCCCAGACTCCAGATGTCACAGGCGGCGTCGTAGCCCTGCCGCATCAGCACCTGCAGCACATCAGAGACACGCGAGCGAGTGAGTGAGTGAGGGCCTGTCTGCAGCTCGGACGCACGCCGGACATTCAGTGCTCTTCACATGATCCTCACCTCAGGAGCCACGAAGTTAGCGGTGTAGCAGGGAGTGAGCAGCAGACCGTTGTCTCCTCGCAGCTGCTTGGCGAAGCCAAAGTCACAGATGCGAATGGAGTCGGGGTTCCCCGAGTCGTCCATGTAGAGGATGTTGCTGGGCTTCAGGTCTCTGTGCACCACCTGCAGGAGAAGATCGTCACCACACACACCTGCAAACGCTCTGCTGCTCAGGCCAGCGCTCCAAACTGCACTCCATAACATCGCTGGCTGATATGGATCAATCAGACTGTTAAAACTAAGAATCAGTTAAGACTTTGGTGACATCTGATAGCTCAGGATTTGCTCTGAAACTGCTAGAGCTACTTTTTCTGCACTACAGTATTTCAATTGTTGTTATATAGTTAAAAAAAGACAGTATTTACTTAACCAAAACATTTTAAAGCATGCAAAATTACATGCAGACTTTGGACTGCTGGGGTCATCAAGCATGGGAGCTCTGAATACGAAATGCTGCACGAAGCATATGCTTTCACGAGTCCAGACTGACACATCAAGTCAAAGTTTTAGAGAGGAGTGTCATTTTAAAACGCAAATCCAATTTGCATCATAAAAGCAAGCAACTGTCCTCATTAAACATCAAATACTTGAATAATTCACTGAATCCCCATATACAGTTCATGTAATGTTCTTTTTCATGTATAGTAAGTTTAACAGGATTACTGAGAAATACACAGTTGTCCTGCACTTCATTAACAACAAAACATGCTTGATTATTGTACCATCATGTCATGTTCAGCTGTTAGGTACAGCCTCGTTAATCAGAATCAAAATCGATTCAATTAAACTGACATGACAACTTGGACAAACCTTTCAAATCTGATTTTCTGAAAGAATTTCCAAAGAATTTCCTGGATTATTATAGGTAAAACACTCAGGTCTTTGCAATCTTAACACGTCATTTACATGACTCGTGCAGAACTGATGAGATATTGAGAGCTGGCAGATGGGGGAGAATAAATAATAAAAATGAACCGTATTTTACAGTAATTATGTTTATGACTGACATATATACAATAACTTATGCTTGTTTCAATAATTCTCAACCAGTGACCACTAGAGGGCCCTAATAAGTCTTAAGATCATTAATATTTTCATGTAGTCCTCCTCACCAAACGGGAAATGTCTACTAGATAATATTTACAACATAGCTAGATTTCAAATCACAAATGTGACTGCATTTTCTTATTCAAGTAAAACAAGATTATCACTGGCTGTCAAGATCATAGGCAATTCTGCCTGGTTTATTACAATAATATATATATATATATATGACCCTGGAGCACAAAAGCAGTCTTAAGTCGCTGGGGTATATTTGTAGCAATAGCCAACAATACATTGTATGGTTCAAAATTATAGATTTTTCTTTTATGCCAAAACTCATTAGGATATTAAGTAAAGATCATGTTCCATGAAGATATTTTGTAAATTTCCTACCGTAAATATATCAAAACTTAATTTTTGATTAGTAATATGCATTGCTAAGAACTTCATTTGGACAATTTTAAAGATGATTTTCTCAATATTTAGATTTGTTTGCACTCTCAGATTCCAGATTTCCAAATAGTTGTATATCAGCCAAATATTGTCCTATCCTAACAAACCATACATCAATGGAAAGATTATTTATTCAGCTTTCAGATGATGTATACATCTCATTGTCCCTTAAATTGTCCCTTATTGGTTTTGTGCTCCAGGGTCACATATATATGTGTGTTAATTACATCATTAAGCTATAATGTCCTACAGTAATGGGAAAAAGTGCAAGAACTGAGACAATTATTTATGCTTACGATAAATTAAATCAATATGTTAACAAATATCCCTGTGCAATGCAGCTCTCATAGCTAGCAGCAGCTGACACAGACACTGATTGGTGAAGCTCTTCTGGTAAACACGTTGATAGAGTCTGGTCTCTCACCCCCTGGCAGTGCAGGTAGTCCACAGTTTTGGTGATGGTGTAGAGCACAGCGCTGGCCTCTCGCTCAGAGAAGAACTTCTGCCTGAGGATCTTATCCAGCAGCTCGCCGCCCTTCATCAGTTCCGTCACCAGATACACGAAGCGGCCCTCGTCGTACACCTGACACACACACACACACATACCTGAGTGAGCCGCACACACAGCTGGAGACCAGAGACCAGAGCTGCTTCACTCACGTCCTTCAGCGTGATGATGTTGGGATGCTGGCCGTACCGCATCAGGATCTCGATCTCCTCTGACGGGTCGCGTTTGCTTTTGTCAATGATCTGTTTAACACCAGAGCAGTGAAGCGTTAGTGTGCATGTATCACAGCATCTTGTAGGCCAGACTGACTGAGGCAACAGTAATGATGGTTTTGAGGTCTCACCTTCACAGCAAACTCCATGGCAGTGACTCTGTGTGTACAGCGTTTGCATATGGAGTACGAACCCACGCCGATGTCCTCCTTCAGCTCGTACACGTCTGCAAACTGAGCCATGCCTCCGTGCATCTGACACAGCACACACACACATATTTACATAGTACAT